TGAGTATGTTCGAGTATTTATACATATGATTCATATTGCATCTTGATAAAGCATTATCGTATGATTTACCATAGAATAACATTGTTTTGGCTGCAAGTGTAGTACAGTAGTATCGGTTCTATGAATTACTGAAAACTGAGTTTTTAATAACTTGCACGTATCGGTAAAACTAATGTGTCCACATTAGTTTTTTAGTATTTCATGAACAGAGTAATTTATATATGATATATTTGTAATCATATTGTTTAATATACAATAACACATGAATTCAAATATGCTTAAAAACACTAAAAAATACTCGACACTGTCTCTTTAAATATTCGCAAACCCTTGAGTTCTTTACCTCTCCTTCTAATGGGGTGATCCCATCAGTTTCGTTAATCCATACGTGCATTTCTTCACCGGTGTCAAAAGGAAGGTAGCCATTTCCTTCCTTGCTGTGAATTGCATGATCCTATGAACAAATGTAATAATATTTACATCGAGTTTAACAAATCGGGAAGTATCATATAAATTCAATTTTCCTTGAATATACATTTAAATAATAAGTTTAAGCAAATAAACACCATGGAAGAGAAAATACAATATACGGCGACTATGAGTTTACATATACACACGTGATTCGAACACACAATCGTGGCAGAGCGAATTAACATCTCGCTACGTCCAAAATAAAGGTCTACAGAGACGTACAATAAAAGTGGACTCACAAAGCAAGCAAATAAATACAATATATTGCCATGCGGGTTAGTTGGAACCCCACTCGAGAATAAAGTATTTTCTGGCCATTTGTTTATCCGTCTATTTTTTATTCTTTTATACAAGATGACCCTTACCAGAATAATAATACCATGTTGTCCATATTCATGAAGTTCTTCGAAAAACTCCCCTAGTCCAGCCCAATTCACAGGGTCAACAGTGAAGTCGCGATAATTACTCATATGGTCAACATCAGCATATTGGACATCCTTGAACGTCCATCATGCAATAAATAAAAATAGATCAATCAATTTACTAATATCACTTATTTGTTGTTTGAATAAATACAATGTCTAATTTATCATAATTCCATCAACAAACAATGCATCAGTTATAAATCCTGTGGTCGTGTGCGAATACGTATATATGTTGTTAACCTTGGAGTTGTATTAGACAATCAGTATACCGACATACTTGCGGGATCCCTTGCGCTCTCATGTCTTCTACGATTCCCTTAACTTCATCCAGACTTTCGTAACCCCATTTACACAACTGAAATCCCAAGGCCCAGTAGGGCGGCATCATCGGTGGACCTGTAAACTGCGTGACAATAAATGGATAGAATTGTTTATACACATTAATTCACAAACCGCATTTGGTAAAAAAAAAAAGTATTGTATGGTTTATACGAATGTCCTTCCCCTTCTTATTGTGTGTGTAATGTTTAATGGTTCAATGAGTTTGAGTCACGGATTATCTTCAGTGCATTCAAAAACCTCAGACCAAGAAAGTGTCTGCGTGTGTGTCAGGGCAATCAGCAGGTAACGTAGTTACTGTATTAGTTCACGGGGGAAACTTGTTGCGAAAGAATCTTCACTTGTCCCATTGAACGTAAAACAAGATCACGAATACCGTGCCGTTTCATTCGTGATTTTGATACATGTATTGCAATACTTGGTTAACCTCCAACCTATTACCTGGACCGTATATTGGTTAACAATGTCTTCGGGTGACGGTCCCAGAAAGACATAAAAATCGAGAATACCACCAATAGTACGATATGTTAGGGCTGGTGTTGGCTGTAGCACTATATCTATAAAGAAAAAACAACAACGTAAAAGAAATCGCAGAGTACAATACATGCAAACAAATGGTAAATAGTATATGAGTGGTATAGTCTTACCCATTGCGTTTGAGTTAAGTAAAAGTACTCCATGTGCATTTCCGTCGTCCTCGATACACATATGTAGAGCGTGAGCTCCGTAAAGATTCCATTCTTCCTACAAAAAACAAACATATCAAGGATTTATAAGATAATGTTATGTAACTTTCATAATTATGTTGTACGGTGATACGCAATGAAGTTCTCGCGAGAATCAAACTCAGGCGTTTTGCGAGCGTTCGGAAGGCCAGATCCTAATCAAGTGTATTTCTTAGCAATGGCGTCACGAAACGCAGTGGATAGTTGTGGAGATGTGCGGTTACGTAAACAGAAATGAATGAGGTTATCGCTGCTTTGCGAATAAGCAAGGACACGTCCTGAGATCAACACTCGAACGAATCGATTTCTCGACTCACTAATTTGCGATGCTACTAAAATACAATGAGAAAAGTTAGAGAAATGCTTGACAAAATCGGGCATGCGTTAGTTGAAATAGGAATCACAAACACCAAAAGACTATCGTCTCTATCAATATACTCACCACCGGTTCAATGTCACGTGTAAAAATAGCCCATGTTTTCCAGTCTAAATTATGCCGATACTGACGGTGATTGTGTTCACCAAAACCGTACACGTTACTGGATGGGAATTTCGTTGACATCTGGATAAACTGGTTGGTGTACGTGAAACCGCCAACTGATGTGTCAAAACTGAAAAGTGAATTTGACGAACTTTACATTGTTTTAGATGTACGATATCGGTGAATATAATTCGCCTTATCGTTTTTAGACATCAAGTGGGACTGGGTAGACTTTGCCTTTTTATGATAACCTGTTGTTTATTTAAATGATTATATCATGTTTAGATTATGTTAATAATTGTTCTCTAGCAAGTTTCAGCGGAAGACAAAGCTTCAAAAAGTCTTGATTTAAACAATATTTTGTTAAACGCAATTAAAAAAACATATTCTAATTAGATATTGGATTTCGTTAGTATTTAGTACTTAATTTTAAGTTAATCTATTCTATTGTTTCTATTGATGTTATCCTGTATGTTTAAAAATGTGCATCAAATTATGTGATTATGTGATGTTTTAAATTAATTTGCAATCTAACTTTATGATTATTACTTTCTCAGAATCCTTCATCTTTTCTGAGCACGCTAATAATTATTACTTTATCACCATACATCATCACTTCCGAACAATACACATCTGTTCATCATTTCAATATAAACTATCAATTCTACACCAGCTACTTCATCACTATACTCCTCTAGTTCCGGACCATGTTCTTCGTCAATTCATCACCTACACTCTATCATTGATATGTATACTACATCAATTCCTCGTGTACATGCCTTTCGAACTATAAACTTCACCAAATTCTTCACTTGCACTCCATTAATTCCTCACGTACACTCCATCAATTCCTCGCGTACACTCAATCAATTCCTCACGTACACTCCATCAATTCCTCACGTACACTCCATCAATTCCTCACGTACATTCCATCAATTCCTCACGTACACTCCATTAATTCCTCACGTACACTCCATTAATTCCTCACGTACACTCCATCAATTCCTCACGTACACTCCATCAATTCCTCACGTACACTCCATCAATTCCTCTTGTACACTCCATCAATTTCTCACATACACTCCATCAATTACTCACGTACACTCCATCAATTACTCACGTACACTCCATCAATTCCTCACGTACACTCCATCAATTCCTCACGTACACTCCATCAATTCCTCACGTACACTCCATCAATTACTCACGTACACACCATCAATTACTCACGTACACTCCATCAATTCCTCACGTACACTCCATCAATTACCCACGTACACTCCATCAATTCCTCACGAAAACTACATAATTTGTTCATTAATTAATATTAACGGTTGTCTCACATAATGGTTCCTGTATCAATCCTCTGGATCTGAAGACTGAACGGAGAATCGATATATTCAACAGCATATAGAGGGCTCTCGGCCTTTGTCGTCACTTCCGGTAGCTGCAGTGGTACTTCATACCGATTTGCATTCTCATCATAAATCTATGAATGGAACAACGTTCGACAGAGTTTGATTTCCTGCGTTTGAACCCAGTTGTTATGATTTGTTTTGTAATTAATCAGGTAATTATTACATTTTAAAAATACATATATTTGAACATTTGAAACCCGGCGGAATGAAAATACTGCATAATTGAAGATTCTTCAAAACGGGGGAGTCGTCACCTACGCATGTGTCAGGTTACCATAGTGTGTCATTGTTTACAAACAAGCGTCTACCTATGAGCCTTTGCGTTCTTAGCGTGTGTTGTTATCATCGCTTGGGACTCAATTCCCGCGCGTGCGCAGGTGACGAACCTCCCGCTTTAAAATTCATGAACAAAAGCACTAATCGCAGACACACCAAGACATTTTAAATTAAGATGACACACTGAAAAATACACACCACGCATACTGCATATATACTTACCTTGATTCGCAGTCTGGTGTCTGTTTGATGTTCGATGTCAACTCGTAACTTTTCGATGGTCGTACTCACGTCATCAGAATAACGTTTAGGGATGTCATCAATCCACAGCACCTCCATAGTTTTGCCTAGCGTGGTCTCTAACGGCTCTCCCGTGATTTCATACCCGTACACAGATGGGTAATAACACCACGGAGCGTTCTCGTCGCTTTGTGGCTGTGCCCAGATGCATCCCCGCGATTCACATTTGATTTGATTCGCATTGGGTTCAGGATAACAGTCGAACCGATCGGTGTCTACCGGTGTCACGTGAACGTCTTCCGCTGGTTTGAGCAAATAAATGAGTAATATAGCAGCAATTATTATAAAAGCACCTATCAGTGAGCCGAACACTATTGCTCGAACCAAGTTGACTCTACTGCCCATTTTTAATAAATGACATTATCGTTGTTGCAATGGAACACACAGTGAACTTTGAACAAAGTTAACTCATGGATCCCAATATTGATTGATAACTATTGTATCTATTGTTTAATAATGTGATTGTAAGAAAAGATAGAGTGTTATATAAATATGATTGTATTAATATCAGTAACAGGCCCTTCTATTTAGTATTTTGGGGGCGTAGCGCCAGACATGGCAGTGGGTTGTTATATATTTATATATTGCACCAGAAGAAAAAAAACGCTTTGAGTTGGGAGCGACTATCGCCAGAATGACAATTAAAAAAACTAACACTAAAAATTCGCCAAGACTATACACCCGTTTTGAATTGTTTAGTACATACATGTTGTATGCTATTGAATCATCCTGTCAGTATCCAAGAATAGTTTACGTTTTTTACAGTGGCGAAGCGTCTTGTGTTCAAATCCCGTGTTGCGTTTCTATATAATGTGCCAGTATTTCATATAAAATTAAATCTAGGAATTGTTAAATTATCCGGTTAATAATATAATATATCTAGGTCAATAATATTGATTTGTTATATGTCCATTTAATATGCGACATAGTATCAAGAATATCAGGTAACCCAAAGCATTACATTTATAATGTTATGGGTCTTTATTTATATATATATACCTGTTTTTTAACAAAATATTGTCGTTCAAATGGTAATAGAAAGTCTCGTTCTATATAGGTTGGAAATACATTTAATGAAAACATGCACTTGGGTTGTGCTGCCAAATATTTTGGCCCACTAAAACAATGAATCAATTTGATATCAATATATCAGTTGATCGAAACACCTGGTATTTCTTGGTTGTATTACTTGACTTCCAGATAACTTTCTTACATTGATTCCATCATTCCACCATGTACCCTAGTGTGTGTGTGTAATATGTTATCAAATTTAGAACGTTTTAACTCCTTATTGAAATAGCTGTTATTTATAAATAGTTGATATTTCTTCTCCAAGTATTGGATGAAAGTAACAATTATTTTCACTGAAAATTGGACAATTTATTTTTTTATCAGGGTTCACCCAGTAATAACAACAAAACACTGTATTTAGTTTATAAGATGGCAAAGCTACCAGATGAAGTGATTGATTTATCAATGAAAAAAGGATTGGATCTCTAGCGTTCAACATCAATAATTTCCCTTTTCACCACAAAACGTGAACTCGTATAGTTTACAATTTTTTTAGACTTAGCTTGTTTTATGTCGGTGAGTTAGTCAGATTCCGCATGGATTGCGATTTTTACGCCTTTAAATATCAAAGATCCTAGAGAAAATGCCACCTTCAAACCTTGAACCATTTGCGTTATAAAAAAAAAACATTGTTGCCATACCCCAGCTTGTGTTGCAATGTGTCAAGCACTGTTACTCCATCTTTGTTGCGGTGCGAGCCTGTGATCAGCACAGCGTATGTTTGGGGTGTGGTCGTAAATGTGGTTCGGCTGGTTTGACTTACAAAATGTGCGAATTTTTAAAACAGTAAATTCGAGAGTCACTGGCCCTAGTATCAATGCCTTTGAATCATAATTCAGTGCACCAGCCACCTGTTAGCCAACTGTTGGACATTACACAGTGTTTTGCGGCCTTTGCTAATATTTTTTTCTAAAACAAGTGGTCAATCACTACACCAGAACATTGTTGCGCTTTTGAGATCCCCTCCCCAATGGTAATCACAGATACTAGCATCTATTGATTGTACCTCCACATTATAGGACATGCAGAACATAGTTCCATGACATCATATCTAACTATGGTTTCTAAACCCTTCATCTCGGCTGAGGCACACATTCAGAAATATAAAGATGTATGCTGGATGTAAAAAGGAGGTAAAAGCTATCCTAAAATTACCAAACATGTTGTGATAATTGATGAAGATAAAGTCTGGAATATGAATTCATATCCTAATTCTCAACTATATTTGTTGCCTGTTTTTCTTAATATGCAAAATAGTTTTGACAGTTATCAGCAACCATAAGCGAACGCGTCATATGACCATAGTTTAGTTACTAGTAATTGTATGTGACAAGGTCAACTTGACTTTGGATCTCATCTTGTATATGTGGGGTTTGTGGGGATTGATTTTCATAAAGTTCTATTTTCGCTTGTGAGTGGTACACGTGATGGCAGCAAAGTGAATTGTGTAACCAGTTTTAGACTTTTTTTTAGACTTTCTTTGTACTTTCAAAATGATTAAGTCAGTTCGCCTATTTCAATATTTTTCGTTTTCTCACAGGTCAAAGTCTATGAATATTAGAAACTGATATTGCACATGTATCACAACCGTCTTTAAAGTTGTATGACGCACACTAAAAATAACAATACAGTACACATTAATTTGTATATGAATCAAGTAAATATATTTGCTCCATTTTGTATTGTTGAATTCATTATGTATATATAAAATGATTATATATATTCAATGTACTTCAATCGGCGTAACAGGAAAATATGTTTGTAGATTTCAGTACCATGTGTACGAAATACTTATTGATACCATGTTATATTGTGATCTATTGTTATATCCACCATTCCCATCTCTGTAACGCTTAGAACCTGGAACGTAACAAAAATATATATCAGCACAGTTTGGATGCTGTAATTACAAATCATATCTCGTATTTGTGTATTTTGTAACGAATGAGTGTCACTGAATTATGAATTGACTTTACCTTTAAACCAGAATCATACTCGAAATACACTGGTTCACCATCGGCTAAAACCTCAGCTGGTTGTTCTTGGAGACCAAACACCCTAAGTGTATCCCACGCCAGCTCAGTGAGTCCGGTTATATAATCAGCCTTTTGCACTCGTATTTTGACATCGTTCTGAAAAAAAGGGTGTCGAAATTGTATAATTGATCATTTGGAGTTTGGTTACAATTGTTTAATGGACAATGTGGAATGGTTATAAAAAAAATAAAAGAATGCAGTTACCTCGGTAGCCTCGAACGAAATTAGAGTGTAATCACCATTTTCAATAGTTTCTACAAAATAATCACATAAGATAAATTATAATATGTGATTCGTGCTGTTATGTGTGGACATACATGTAATACTGAGATACACGTGTCGAAATCAACTTCATTAGCCTTTTCATTATTTACCCTTATTTGTCCCGGCCAAACTATTGATGCAACACATGTTTATGTATTCTTCACACATTTCCCTTCTTTCTATGAATCGTATACGTGATTGGACTGCAAACTGTTTTGCGATTGCTTGTTTTTGAAATGATTGTGAAAATTAATAAACTAAAGAAATATACTTCAGAATACCATTTACCTCTTGATTCTCCGTCATCCCAAAACATGTTTCCAACAGATTCACTATTGTTGCCACTTCCAAGACCCACAATTAGGCCAAATGAATTCTGTCGGCTGTCATTGAAAAATAAACAAGTTCATCATTTTGACTAACGTAATATTTGCATATTCTCAGTACCAAACTCAAATCAAGAAATACTATTACACTGACCTTGTAGTAGTTGTTGTATTCGGCTCCTGCGTCGGGATGACGTAACCACCTCTCACGTGTAGCGGCATATAGTCCATTGGCGCATCAAGTGTCACTGTGGTGCCGCGAATTTCTTCTGCTATTTCCTCACCCTAAAAGAAAAACCAACTAGTGCAAATGTCTAATTTGTTTGCAATGACTTCTGTAATCGATCACCATTCTGAACATAGTAACAAATGATTATGTAAATTACATCTCTGGATAGTTACCGTGTAATAGTCATACCATCGATCGTCGGGAAAATAAGCATCGACCTCAACGGCATCCTGTAAACGAGATCACAGTGTAAGCAACGTCCTCACAATAATATGCAATACAGGGTATTCTGCATGTTGTTCGTGACGTCAGAAATTTGACTTGCGAATATTTATCTAGTCACTGTAAGCTCGCGTTCATTGCACGCTATTTAGAAGCCATCTTTTTCAGAGATGGTATCTGTGGCATACTGAGGTGCGCGTCTATACTTGTAGTTGAAATGCGCTTTGCCGTAGTGATGAATACTGTGTGTGCATGTTCACCTGTTTGTAATATGAATTGGCCATAGTTCCTTCCTTACCTACCTCTGTCATTACAGGAGTAATCATGAAACACGGTCCCCATAAAAACTGGGTATCCACATCTCGACTTTTTTCATCTGTTGGAAATCTGGTAAAAAAAGGGGAATCGACTTTTAAATAACGTAAGTGAAACACAGCCTGGTAAATATACATTTTGATTGTAATGTATGCGATTTGTTAATGTAAAGTGGAAAAAAAAACAAATGATTACTTACTCATGAGCAAACGGTCGCACCACAGTCGAACCTTTAGTGTAAGCGCCGTAAAACAGGGTATAGAGGAATGGTAACAGTCTGTATCGTTCCATGAGATAAAATCTGATGTTATCAATGACGTCATCACTCCATACAGTTGGATGTTGATGCTACATAGAATGACAAGAGTATTTTGAAATGAGTTAAAAGAAAAGTGGTAGAATGTCGAAGTTACTTGTGTATTACGTATGAATAAGCCTCACATGATAGGATACAATATCCAATATGACATTTCACATACACAACAGGGTTATATTGTGTGCATTCTTAATATTAAATGATATATTTACCGCCCAGCCGTCTGCATTATGGTTCCTGGAATATGGATAGAACGCTCCGAGTTGCTGCCATCGCTGACACATTGACTCGGTGGTGTTGTACCAAAACCCACAAATATCGGCACCGATCTAATGGAATACCAAACAACGATTAATAGTTTGACTTCCCCTCGAGATTATTGCTTCGTATTCATTTTATTTGTATGTAGATTTGCATTTAAGTATGAAAAACAACAGTTTATGTTGAATACTTACGTAAGGAAAGCCGAACAATGCATACTCCAACATTCCTATTGTAAAAACAAACAACCATTATACAGAGAGGTTGACAAGAACAAAAAAAGAACTCAATTGAGTATCTTTGTTAGAAGAAGTTACATCATTTACCTACAACGGACCACGGTATTTGTCGCCATTGGCTTTGGTTATCGCCCAGCCAGTGTCCGGCAAAGTGACCAGTTCCCGCAAACTGGGATCGAGTTAACACCATGCTGCGTTTATCGGGGAAGATTGTCTTCAATGTTCTGACAAAAAACAGCAATGAGAATGGACTATTGTTTAAAATCAACCAATCAATCAGATACATTTAATTGAGCACCCCCTTTGCCGAATGTAAACATACCACGAGATAATGTTCAATGCGAGCCTCAAGGGGTTATTACAATCTGATTGTAGTATTATATCAGTATTATTTCCACGTATTTGTAGTAATGAATACTGCACTAAAACTCGTTACAGATCATGATGGAAACAAAATTAAACTACGAAGTCACGTTCTAGACGCATCCAGAGTAAAATAAAATTAGCTATGAAACAAGTATTTTATCTTATGGGACCACTAAGTAAATTCCAACATGCTGTATTCGAAATTAATAAATAAATGTTTATTTTCAAATTGTATTTCTTTAAGTCTGAATTGATAGATTTGATGCTATCATGATGCTGACCCTATTTTTTTAAAATAGCAAACGACAGTAAAATATACTGGTTTGCTGAATAATTCAGTGAAGGATCCTTTATTAAACTGTCTAGTATATATAATTACCGTAGTTTTCAGCACAAACCACAATTCAAGAAATTGTCGACAGTTAGTGATTTTAGTATTTAGTATTAATTTTTGCTAAAAATGTTACTTACTCGTGTGTTACGACTGACATGCTATGTCCATATAAACTATGCAGGTCGTACTGTATGCCCAAATGCTGAACGGAATCCATACATATTGTCTTATCATACATCAAACCACCGAGAATTTCTACAGAATTAATTTTTAAAAAATATCGAAGATAAATGCTAAGTATACGACAGTTACTAGGTAACATTCACTGTAGTGGACGTTGTTATCACTTGGAACAATTTAGTTAAAATAGTTACTAGTATACTAATCCTATGTGTATCGTGCAACTGCTACGATAATGAAAGTATAGTCGAACACACAAATTGGTACATGTTTTAACAATGTCATTTATAGCTCTAAATAGACCGATTAATATTACACAGTTTAACCCAAAATATGATATAGTATTACAGCTTCGTAATTAGTCTTCATAACTGATAACCAGCTAACAACAACATCAGGCAATACAACTTACTTGGTAGATATGGCGGGAAATTGAGCGAGTTGTCATTACATGGAGGGTCTGATGTGGAACCTTGGACAAAATTCGAGGGCTCGTTCATATCCTATACGCGAATAGACAAATATGGTTTAGTTATGAACATATTAGAAACTGGAATATAAAATTTCCAACAAGGTTGCTAAGTTAATAATTGTGTTCTGACAATTCGTCATCACGGGTGAGTGCGCCCTCGCCGACTGATTCAGTATATGAAATTGATACGTAGGCAATAGGATAAATTGTAATTACTCAATGACCTTGGATTGGACGTTTCAACGTAATATATAGCTGTAATATTTCATCCATGCAATTGTGTTGCTATGGCAGATAAACAACCGTTAAATTAAAACACGACGATAAACAAATATGCTGACAGAATATCCAAAAATATCTCAAAAATTATAGCTACACACAAGAGCCCCGTTCTTGAATGGCCACGCTTCGTCCACGTTGCCGTGGTACCGAAGCCTGGGGTCACGGTCAGAGATTGGCATTAGTAAAGTGGCATATCAGTGATCTACACAACTTTACTGGCACACTGAACTGCAAGTATTCTCCATACACGTGACTATGTGTCTTGTTTATTAACACAAGTATATGCATACTCACGATCCATAGTGCATCGTAAGGAACTTCATTGTAGAATTGCACGCTGTGATTTGTCCACCATTTCGCACACTCAGGGTTGGTAAAATCGGGATAGTATGAGTAACCAGGCCATACCTAGATATAAATACGATACAAAAAACAAGTTAGTATATAGTACTGATTGTATAATAATATATTCAAATTTTACATTTGCTATTATGATCGCAGAGCACCAACGTAATACAGTATTCAAGAAATAACATCGAGGTCAATAATCATTTTACGTTAAATCTGCAAACAAAAAAACATGTAACAAAGCACCATACAAAAGGTAT